GCAAGTGAAAACATGACTCAGGAAATCCCGAGGCTCCAGATGGGGCTCAAGGGAGAAATATAATGGGGGGTCAAGGCAGGAGGTTACATTACAACAGTAATTGAGCTGAAGCGCATAGTATATCTAATTTCCTTGACAGCTTTAATTGGCTGGTTTAAACCTAGTAAGCATCTGGGGAAGCCAGGTGCCCTACCATCCGGAGCCTGCTTAAGTCATTTCTTTTTTCTTTGCAAAAGACAAGATGACCGGGGACACCAAGAAGGCGAGTTTGGGAGTAAAATGCGTGCATTTCTAAGAACTCCCCAATGACTGTCACGCAGCTAGGATGGAGGCTGTTGGAAACCACTGAGAACCAGCCCTTTATGGTCGGTAACACGTAGGAGCCGTTAGCTGAAGCAGGATTTAAAAAGGGTCGGACAGCAAGGCGGAAGGGCACGGAGGGGAGAAAGGTTGGTGGGGAGGTAAAAATGAAGATTAATTTTGCATCAGGCTGGCTCTGGCTATGCAAAATCATTTTGTATGTAAGTCCCGGATTTTTAAAAAGCAAATCAAAGGAAAATCCACCTTCCGTACCACCTCGGTACAAGAGGGCTGTTAGTGCATTAGAACCTGAGATTTGCTTTGTGGGTGGGATGTCTTCTTTTCCCGTGTCTCTTACATCTTTACATTTCTCATACTCTGATAATGGCCCATCTGAGGCATTTTCTGGTGTTAATGACCCCTGGAAATATTGTCACCTGCCTAGCCATGTCCAGAAGGGCAAGGAGGTGTCACAAAGCGATTGCAGGGGCATTTAGGAGCACAGCTCAGCTCTTTTCGGGCTGCCAGGTGTGTGGATGGTGTATGTGCACGTGCAGACGTGTGTGCACGTGCAAACGCATGTGCGCGTGCAGACGTATGTGCACGTGCAAACGTATGTGCGTGTGCAGACGTGTGTCTAGCCGCCACCCAGGCTCACCAGTGCCAGGGGAAGAGGCATGCAGAATGGATATCAACAGAAATAACACTCAAACATTTGCATTTCTGTTTGAAATTTATTTCTGGTATTTTTCTTCCCACTCTTCTTCTCTCTACCTCCCCCACTCCCGGCCCTCAATCTGTTTGTTTAGGCAGATGGTGATTATGATGGGTCAATAGTTTTTCCTAAGCACATCCTTACTGACAGCAAGGGGAAAGGCACCACTGATTTTTTTTTTTAAACACTTATCATATTAATCCTTCCCCCCAGATTGAGAATTAGTTGTGGTAGGATTGCTAACAAATACAAATTATATTAAGAAAAAAAGTCATCTCTGCAAGGCAATGGGTTTTTAATTAGTTTGCAAGAACTGGTGCCTTTCACTCCATAATTAAGTTCAGGCTGCTTTCTTCATCTACCATCTCTCTATCCTCTCTTCTCTGAACACTAGAGACCGCGGTCTTGCCCTTCCACCTAGGAAACACTTCAGAGTCCTGCCTTCCTTAAAAGCACATGTCCCCGCCAACCCAGGGGGCTGCTCTGTATTGTGTCACCCAAGTCACTTCCCTTGAAAACAAACGGGTGATGCGGTCGTTATTTCCATAAAAATAAATTGACATAATTTGGTCAAGTCTTCTTTCCAATTTAACAGGGCATGAAACTAGTCTGCGGAATGAGGGCACATGCTGTAATGAGTGTTTGAGTTGAGCGCATCACCAGTATCAGCACAAAGGGAATTGTTCATCGGCTTAATTCCTTTGCCCATGAGAAGAAGAAGAAGAAAAAAAAAAAAAAACCAAACTAAAAACCCAACCAAGAAAACCCCCTCTTGCTGGATAGAAGCTCATTGTCTAAATGAAGGTTAGCTCTTTGGTCTTTTTTAACGTTTCAAGTTTTCCCATTAGAACACATATAAGGAAATGCTATCATTATGCCAATCCTAGCTCTTAGGTGTTCCGGAGGCCCACAAGATCTTCCCATCAGCATCAGAAGCATGAGGGTGCCTGCCTTTTGGGTCGTGTTTTACAAATTTGACAAATAATTGCGAGAAACAAACTTTCATCACAGAGTTAAAATATTTAATGACAAAATTAGAGTTAACTGTAATCACGAATCATAGAGCAGGTGTTGTCTCTGAAAGAAACAAAAATTATATTTGACATCCTAGAGAAACTTCTGAAGAATTAATAACTGTATCACAGACAGCAGCGGTGTTATGATTCTAAAAACGAAAAGCAAAACCTATCTTTATTATCCCTTATTGAGGGCATTCTGTAAATATTTTTACATAAATGCACAACCTTCGTTAGCCACAAAAGTAGTAGTATTAAGACAGATTTCACTGTAATTGTAAGTCTAACACAATCTTTATTTTTTCAGAGCTTAAAAAAAGTTAACTACTGATCTTGTTACATTTTACAAATACATTCTTTAATATGAAACATTAACCTGAATAACTGTATACGTCCTGTACGCAGATTATCTAATACTAGGTGAGGACTACTACGGACGGCTACGTTCCAGGAAGAAGGGGTAATACTGGGAAGCTTCTTTTCTCTATGTGTTGTCAGTACAATTGAAGAAGTCCTTCAGAGAGATAGAGTATCCCGAAAACTCACAATGAAGTGCAGAAGTGAAACAAATTAACTGTCTTCTAGCAGCTTCACCCAACAAATTGGTCCCAAGGAATGTGACATTTTAGCAATTTCCTCTAGGTTAGACTTATATTTTGTATCGCAGCACCTTCTACGAAAGGATAGCAAAGAACTTCACATGTGTCATCACGGGGCAGCTCTGCAAAAGGTCAGGTGGTGGAGGAAAGACAGAGGCTGGCTGTTCTGGCCTCGCTGGGGCGGGGGCCTAGGTAGGGTGTTGACCCAGGGAGGTCAAGGGCATGGCCACGCCCTGGAAGCGAATCAATAGCGGGAGCTAAGAGGTGTTCTTCTAATCCAAGCTATTTCCAGTAAGACTGAAGTCTAAAAGGATAAACAGAGAGTGAAGTAAGAGGGCAAGATTCAGAATACTTACATTTATGAAGAGTAGCTATCACAATTCTACCAGGAAGAAGCTCCAATTTCACAGTATGCTTATGACCTCATCCTCTGCTACTTTAGAAGCAGCTCTGCAAACACCCTTGTTAGATAGTTGGCAACAAATTTTATTTTTGAGTTTGGCCAATTGTCGGGAGGTTTTAGATTTACCCTTTCAATTATTTATACCAACTATCTATCTCTGAAGCTGGAATCCAATTTTGGAAGATGAATATATCCATGTGTCTGCGTGTTAGTTCTGAACTGAGGACTGCAAACAAAACCCGTTTTGAGTGATATTTTGGGATTTTCTTAGAAATTATAAATGCGTCTAATGGTACTCATCAGATAGAGAGCAAGTTCTTTGCTTCTTTGACCTTTTTAGACACTGAAAGTACAACATATTATAGTAAACTTGCATAATTTACCATATTAATTTTAGAGTTTTCTTGAACTGGACCATCTTCCTACGAGGACTCAGAAATTTGTCTCCAGCAAACCCCATCTCCCTTTTGACATGTACTGTCTAAGATAATTTTTTTCCCCCTATAGCCCAACTTTGTTTCCCAGGGAATGCTTTATCAGGAGAAATTAAGCTACTGAAGTCAGCATAAATAACCCCAAAGTCATCTTGTGCTGCCGTGTAAGAGGCTACAACGTGTGGACTCAGTCGGCTCAATGGGTAGGAGGATCAGAAAAGGGTCCTGAAGGTTCAGGCAGCTTAAAGATCAATTCACTGCAGCGGGAGGCTGAGACTGTGTCTGGGATGTGCAGCTTGCCTCCTTGTTTCACGAGGACAAAGCACAGATTTAAGGTTTAGCATTTAATCCTCAGAGAAAGAAAACTCCCAGACTCCGTACCCAGCACTCTCGGGAGTAACGCAAAATCAGGACGTGTGGGAGCCAACTTTATTCAGTCTGACTGCAGTCTAAAGGCTTCACGACTATGTTTTATGTCAGACTGGGCAAGTTGCAATGGCCATGAAATACAATTTGTCAAGACACCTGCACTTTAAATTACATTAAATAAATAGACAGCAAATAACAACATCAGAACCTCCAAAAATCAGATACAGAGACACTGAAGGTGATATGATGAGGGTGTTTCTAAAATAGGCATGACTTTGTAATAAGAGATTTTAAATGTAGTATCTTTTCACATTATCATTTACACAGACCTTTATGTGGACAAATGAATTCTTGATAAAAATCCAAGCTCTTTTCAATATTGGCTGCTGTAATTTGGGCCAATGACAAAAGAAAGAGACATCCATGAATGCAGTGGTTTTTAAATTGGCTTTTCCTTACATCTTTGATCTCAAGTTTTTATCCTTCCTGTGAAAACTGCAAATAATCAGCATGGAAACAAGTACTGGAAGTATTTAAACTGTAGCTCAGAAAGTAGATTCTATCTGCCATTCTGATTTTGTGTTTTTTTTTTTTTTTTTTGAATGCTGGTGATGGCTCATGCAAAAGATTACTATATAAAAAGCAAAAATCTAAGACTGCTGTTTCCCCTGATAAATCCAATTGTTTGCCATAATACAGACTTATGTTTCAAGATACAGAATCTTAACCTTCAAATTAGGAGTGGCTTGGAGATTGAGAGAAGCAATGACAAAGTGACAGAGTCACTGCTTGACTCTGATTTCCAACCAGGAACAAGAACATCTGATGTCACCATATGAAAAGGTCTTCCAGCTTAATATCACATTTTTTTTTTTTTTAAAGTCATCTCTACACCCAAAGTGGGGCTTGAACTGACAACTCCAAGATCAAGAGTTGCAGGCTCTGCTGACTGAGCCAGCCAGGCGCCCCTCTGGTTTAATATCAAGAAAAAAAAAGACAACAACATGTTGTTGCCAGTTTAGACACAGCTCAGCATAGCATGTGGTCCAAATTTCATATTCAAACTACTTAAAAAAAAAGTTAAAGAGAAGACACATATGGAGACATACATACAAACATACAGTGGAAAAAAATAAATCAAACGAAGCTGACGCCACTGCAGCATTTCTTAGCACGATTGTTAGTGAAATGTATGAACACAAAGTCTTTTCTTTCATATTAACGTCTGAAATGGGAAAAGCAAAAAAACCTAAATGTCCATATACTGGGTGGGGGGGAGGGGGGAAGAAGCAAGCAGAGGTCCGGAATTCTTGTAAAAACTGCTGAGCAAACTCTTCCATTTCTCTCGAGAGGGTCATCGCTGTGACAGGCAGTTTCTCAACACTTGTGCTTCATGGCAAGCTAAGGAGAAAAAGGGGTGGCAAAGTGAGGCATTATAGCATCGGGGAGAATTCACCGTGCTGCTTCCATCCCCAAATGCATGACGAGAGGCAGCACCGAGGTTTTACTCGCTGTGGCAGATCGCCATATTATTATTATAAATTATTAGCATTTTCTCAAAGAGCCCACCGAGCACTGCCTTTGTTACTCCTCCTTAACAGTGGCTCCTTTGGTGTCAAGTGTCCTGCTGGGGGAGTGTGCTATGCGGTTTTCCCTGCACTCCACGGGAGGAGCCGATGGAACAGCCAGGGTGCAGGCAGAGTGAGGGACCCACCTAGAACAGGTAGGCGTAGAACTGAGGTCTCTGGGCTCCCGGGTTACTAGTTATTCAGGAAAACCAATACTCCTCAAATGTAAGTATTTACTGATATCTTATAAAGTATTAAAAATCAACCGTAGGAAAACAATTGGCATTAATCCACTCAATATCCAGCCTGGACCTTCAACCAAGTTCCAAAGCACTTGGCGAGATGAAGTGGTGTTACTGACTGGGGCTGAACAAGAAAGAGACGAAATCCAGACCTCCATTTACCACTCCTCCCGCGGGTATTTGAGAAATGTGGCTTGCTGAAAGGTTAGACCTTTATAAATGGGAACGCTAATACCACTGTATCATTCTGTAGCTTCCCAAGGCAACTAGAGCCCACGATGATATATTGAAGGCAACACAGGCAGGTATGGAACATAAAGTTAAATCTGACTTTGCTTTTCTTAGATCCTTTCCAAGGAGCCCATACACTGAGGTGACCCCGAAGGCAGAGCTGCGCCTGAACTGTAATTCCTCACGTGTCTGGAGTCTGGCATTAGGGAGGGGGTTGGGACTGGGAGTAGGGGACAGGGTTCTGCCATTCAGAATGACTTGCAGCAAACAGCAGGTGATTCTCTGCAGGCAAGAGCTTTGTAGAAAGCCCTGTTGTCTGCTTCATGACCAGGTTCCCGGTCCTTGAAGGATGAGCCAGGGAGCCCCCTGATTCCACCCAGTGGTGCTGGCTGTCATTCTGGGCGGTGTCAACGATCCATCTCTCCAGTGTAAGCCAGGGCAATCAGGGTCTGCCATCCCTTTCTTTGATGTCTTCAAGAACAAAGTCATAACCCCGGGGCTGCCACCTCAGGCCACCTGCGAGAGCAGCAAACCCTTCCTTTGCAGCCGGTGCACAGAGGGGACATGCGGACGTAGCCCTCGGGCTGCTAAATTCACCGCAGCTGGAAGAGCTCCCCGTGCCTCTCTGCCTGGTGAAGTCAGCCTCAGCAAGACCTCCACAGACCCTCCGCAGTGTGGACGCCACATCCGTCAACCATTGGACAGTGTGTGTGAGCATGCCCGGGCTGCTCCCGTGCTAAGCGCTGTGGGTTTTTGCTCAGAAAGGGGGAGGTGGCTAGTAACTCCTGACCTTGGAGAGCTTATGGTCCAGGAGACATGGTGGGTGGGGGGCTCTCCTTCTGATCTGTTCCATGGCCCCGCCACCTGCAACCTCTCCACTGTATGGACTCCACTTCTTGCTCTGTCTCTCATTTTAATACATTATTTAGCAACGTGGACGACTCCAATCAACACAGAGCTGTTAAGTGTTGTGCATAATGAATACCAAACATAAATATTTGATCAGTGCTGCTGTCCTGTTATTCACGGAGCTGTTAACCTTCAGCTAATGGGCTCGTGCCAATTCACCCACAGTCATTAATCTTCAGCAACAACTGGGCCCCGGTTACCGCTACCGTGGGTCTGGGATGGCGCTAAGCCCAGCCCCCGCCAGGTGGGGCTGTGGCCAACTCAGCATCGCAGGAATACGACAGGACTGGGTCTTTTACTATTTGAAGTATCTTTGCAGAAAGTGGTACTATTTCCATGCTACCTAGGGTTTTTGTTGTTGTTTTTTAAAAATTCTCTGGGAGTTGGAAGTCTTGGAATATGGAGGGCAGGATTGCTTCTTTGCTGCAAATTTGCTGCATGACCTTGAGCCCTAAAGTCACAACTGCTCCATACCTCAGTCTCCTCATGATCATAAATATCATCTCTAACTCAAATGCTTCTAACTCCCTCTAAATAATGATAAATTGTTACTCATATTGGGGGAGAGTTTTAAGAGACCTGGACTCTTGAGGTCCCTTGTGGTTCAGGGACCCAAAGGAAGCAGGTGACTGTAGTGAGGACAGAGGCAGCCGCTCCCTGCCAATGAGAGAAACCCCCACTTACCACCCCCTGCCCCGCAAACGTGAGCGTGTACAAAACAGGGCAGATCGGCATTCCTCTCCGTGAGAAATGGCATCTGAGGATGCCTAGGTATGGGTGCCACTCTTGCCTGCGGACTCAGTGCCTGTGGCGGGTGTCAGAGCCAGGCGCGCACAGCAACGGTGTGCCTTCTGGGGCAGGGGAGAGTGAGCAGGACTGCTCTGCGGCTGCGCTACTTTCCTAAGGGCTGAGACGGTGCCAAGCCCACAGCTCAGGAAGGAACCGCGCTTCCTCAAGGCAGGCCGAACAGAGCTGGGGGAGACGGGGTGCAGGAGCAGTTTCCATCTGCTTTCCTGGAGTTAAGCACCCACATATCTTGATGGCAGGGCTGTGCAAAGGTGATCCACTCACTAATGGACCTGGGTCACTGCAGGAGTCCTGGGAAAAGTTAGATCCTTTTGACCGCAGTGTAGAGAAGTGTGCCATAGTCTGGCTGGGGTGACATGCCCTCATTCAACCAGGGAGCATGGAGGAGTCTCACCTGGTCTTGCTGTGGTCTGCGAAGGGTGCCGGCACGTACCCTGTGTCTCAACTCGTAAACACAGCCCACTCTTTATGAATCAACACAGCTGCTTGTCTGGGGGCAGAAGGTTTGTGTTCCACATCGGCATGCTGTCCTCACCAGCAGGTCTGGTGGGGGCTTGGCCGGGGAAATGACATCTTCACGGTCAGGCCACGCCAGTGGGTTTAAATCGGGAGTCCTAGTCCCTGGGAAAATAGCCACACCTTATCTAAAGAGGTCACTCTCCTCATTAGGAATGCCGCCAATGCTGCTGATTCATAAGCACACATCCCGACTTTAGAAAACCACATCTGGCCAGGACAGTGCCTAGCTCCCACTCCCTCACATGCAGTAATAGACACCAGCAACCCCTTCACCTCCTTCTTAGAACACCCATGGGCAGGGAAACCAAAACAAGGGCATGCCGCCCCCTCCCCCCTCCATCTCTCCTGAAAACAGGCCGCTGGTGGCACTGATCCTCCCAGTGGTCAAGGCCAGAGGCCCCTTTGCCTTTGGTGGCCTAATCAGTTTCTAACCTGACAGGCCCTGTTTCAAGGGTTGTTCTGTGTTTAGAAAGTATCCGGCTTTAGCAGGAGCCCTGCCCAGCCCACTCTGGCGGTGGGGGCAAAATCTTCATCTCCAATTCCTCCCCATCCCTTTGTTGGGGTCCTCAATCACATTTCTCCATGCCCTTACATAGGTGCTCGTTATGGGATGGAATAGGGCAGGTTCAACAGAACTATTTTCATGGAAATTATTATCGCCAGTATTAATTCAGATCTGTATAATGTCAGGTACTGTGATCGTAGATTTATAGGTTTGAATTCATTCAATTCTCTCAATGCCCTAGGAGACAGGCACTGTTATTAATTAGCCTGAGTTTACGGATGAGGGAATTGGGGCTTAGAGAAATCAGGCACTTGCCCAAGGTCATGGGGATGGTAAATCCAACATAAGATGTTAACCACACCATACTGTCTTCCCAAGCACCTAGCAAACTTGGCAACAACATCAGGGAAACAGGGCGTCCAGGGCCAAGAATCATGGCCATCTGGTCAGGTTATCCAACCCAGTGTTTGTACAACTGCCTCTGAGGGGGACGCCCACATGGATGACCTCCAGGTATTGTCTACTCCGCCTTAGGAAGAGTGATTTCACAGACTTCCTTGGTAACCTGGCTCATGATTTCATCATTCACCTAAAGTCTGGTTTTAGCAGAATCTTATCAGTGCACTGTTGACTGTTCTATTCTGTGAGGCAAGGTCTGAAAGAGAACTGCCCGCACTATCACCCCTCCCAGACTTGAAGACAATTAAAAAATGACTCCCTTTAGCGTTCTCTTCCCCAAATCAACACTTTGAATGCTTCTCCAGACTTCCACTATCACCCCACCCCCAATCGCAACATTTGCTGTGGTTATAAATGAAGCTGGGGCAGGAATTCTAGGGTTTCCATCTCATCATTCTGTCTCACAAAGGCTGGAGAAGGGACCTTAAATCTGAACCTTCTGGAAATCTTCAGTCTGAGCTCCCTCTTTCCGGGACAAGCGGTGAACAAGGGTGTGGCCTCCAGCACGGCCACCCTGCATTTTCAGCCAGATCTGGCCAAATCTCCTCCAGGGAAGCCCACATGGGCCCCCGAGACAGGGGTGCGGTAAGACCCCGTCACAACAGAGAGCTGATGACAGAAGGACACAGGTCTGTGCAAGGGGGCTGCAGGACAGGAAAGCAGGAAGCATCCCCTGGGGTTCCGATCCACAGTCAGCCCTGGGCATGAGCCCCTGGGTGAGGCCAGCCAGCCTCAGCTGGGGAAACCTTTCTTGTTACTTTTCAGGTTGTGCATTCTCCCTTCTTCAGCAGAGCTGGGGTTTTCTATTGAAGCAAGTTAATTTTTTCCCCAAAGGTCACCTGAAAAGCATATCTGAAAGGCCGGATCATGAGTCGGAGAGGCCAACAGTTATCAGCAGGGGTTGTTTCTGGAAACCTAAATTCCAATCCCTAGCCAGACAGCTGCCCTTTGACCCAAAGCACAAGATCAGTCATAAATCCTCTTTAACCCCTGACCAACAGGGCCACTCTTTCCTTTGGTTTGTGACTGCCTCAGAGAGCTGGCTGCCAGTAAAAACTCCCCTTTCCCCTTCTGGAAGACACGGTCTTTGGGACCGTGTGCACGTGCGTGTGTGTGTGCCTGTGGTCACGTGGGAAATGCCACGACCTGGGTTCAGAGCAGGTAGGAGCCCTGGGGGCAGCTCTGCATGAGTCAGGGCAGCCTTAGAGATCCAATGCCCCTTGCAGAGGGGCAAGCAGCCCTGAGGTGCCCTGTGTGTGTTGGGGGTGGGGGGACTAGAGCTGGCTTTTCATACAGTGAAGAGATAAGAACACAGGATGCTGGGCTCATGACCGTGACCGGAAAAGGACGGCAAGGAAAAGTAAGCACGGGCCGCCCCAAGTCCTTTCCAAGCACTGGCCATGCGGGGGGGCAGCGGATATTCTTGGATCTGACCTCCTCCTCCCCCCATCCTCTTCCCTGAAACTTGAGCCCTAAAATTCTGGGCAGGAACTAAGGTTGGTCCACATTTCCCAAAGATCCAGATCCAAGGTCAGAGACACAGAGCAAGATGTTAGCAAGGACAGCAATGAAGAAACAGGTACAAGAAGCACTTTCACGATTCTGGTACTTACTAAGCAGCAGGTTGTATAAAGGGTGGGGAAAAAAAGGGCTTGATTTTGTATCTCCCACTATGGGAAACACACTGCAATAAGTTTCTTGGAGCCAAAGCTCCCTGAGCACCCGGAGTGGAGACCTCCGCCCCTCTGTGGGACCCACCTTGTGTGCAGTTTCCGCAAACTGCTGGGCGCTGTTCTTCATGTCTTCCGTCTTCTCCTCTGCTCGGCCTAACCGCTCCCCGCGCTCGTTCAAGGCCTGGCTTGCTTTCTGTACCGCACTGGTCACACTATCGGCTGCTGAATGGAGGATGCTGTTCCCTGAAGAAGCACAGCAAAAGCGTCAGAGGCCGCCTCGGCTGACCTCCAGCGAGAGAACCCTGCGAAGGCGGAGCACCTGCAAGAGCAAGGCGGGTCCCTACAGAGAAGCTTCGGGTATCTAGGAACCAGTCAACATTTCTTCTGATCTTGTCTGACTGCACGTGTGCAGGAAGAGGACCCCCAGCCTGCAGGACTTGGGCAAATGCCGATGGCTTCTCTCGCATCCCCTTCACTGACACAGCCCTCTCTCCTGCCATTCTGTTTGGTGAGGGTCCAAGGGACAGGGGCCATTTGGATTTAGGACTTGGCTTGCAAAAGTAAATAGAAATCCTGACAAGTTTATAGAGTTAGGCAAGTTCAGTGAGACATATCTGGATCTTATGCACATTTCCTCTTGACCTGGGGTTTAGGTGAAAACCCACAGGGAAAGGGGGCACAGAACTTTTCCAGAGAGAATGCTCTGTATTCCTTTCAACTCCTCCCTTCCATTTTACCTCGCCGTCCCTAGATGCATGGCTTCTTGTAAGCAGCTGTGAATTGGTCTCAAAGTTCAGCGGAGATGTGCCAGCTCCCAACCTTGAATGCTGAGCCATGGCTTGGTTGGCTGGGCCTCCTTGCCTCTGATCTCCAGTTCATGAAATATGGGGCCTTAATACTGCACTTAGCCAGGAGGTAGAAAATGGTGACAGAAACCAGCCTCAGAAGAAACTGAGGACTTCCAGATTCATGAGGAAGTTGAAAACCATCACACTTCAAAGGATTATGTATCCCTGACATCCCATTTGCCAGGACTGGAAAACACGATTCAACAGTGAAGAACTGGCGGATGCATAACCCACTGAGAACCAGCGACTTGCAAAATTACAACCCAGGAAAATTTATAGCTGTATTTTGTTAACATTGAGTGGAAAATATTTAATGGCATTTTATGTAATAGCTTTATGCCTTTGGATAAGTTTATTACATCATTTAACTTTGTACTTGGGATGGATACATCTAGCCACAGACAGCTTTTAATAGAAATGTAGTCTACCCCCCCCTCCAACCCCCTACCTCCAGTCTCAGCTGTAAAGGCTTCCTAATTTCTCTTCTGTGGGAAAAGTCTGTGGTTTGTGGAACGGAATCTCAAGCACAGAAAGTGCCTGGCGCCTACGAAGGATTTTGTAAATTGTTTCCCATTTTTCTTCTTTAGGAGTGGATTTTAAGGGCCTCCACTGTGTGCTAAGGGGAGGAGAATGGGGTGGTATTACTTAGTTGTATTAAGGACTCCATGAGCCAAGATAAATCAACAGAGATTAATAGGGACTAGAGGAGAGGAGATGAGGCTCTGGAGGAAACTGGTTGAATACAAGGACTGGAATGGAAAGGCTACGTCTTTAGAACAGATGGAGGAGGAGGCGAAATCTTGGTCCCCCCTTCTGCTTTCACATCATATTCATGACTATGATGATAGCCTAGGTTAGACCATTCCCTAACATGGGAATAGCATTTTGCAATCTTAAGTACCTTGACAAATATTATCTCATTTGGCTGTCACACAAATTCTCCTGAGAAGACTGAGACTAAGTTGAGGTTAAGTGGTTTGCAAGGAAGGAAGTGGCATGGCCAGCACTGGAACCAGATTTTCCAATGATTCTTCCTTATTCTGTAGTTTCCTCTTTGCAGATATGGTGTAGGTTGTGGGAAGCAATGCAAGTAGACAGAATTGTGAACAGACTAGCAGAGACAGATTTTGACAGTATATTTCCCAAGGTAATGCCTGTTTCTGTCCTCAAGGTATTCCTCTTGGTCAATGAAGAGTTATTGCCCATGCTGTACTGTAAGTCAAGTGGTCTCGAGAAGAAAGAGGCCAGTGGGGTGGAATGGGAAGATGGAAAGGACTGGAAGGGGCAGAGGAGTGGGCAGAGCACACTAAAATTTCCTCCCTTTCTTGCTTCCTTTCACATACCCACAGCTCAGCCACCAGAGGCTAGGGCAAATATGGGGCAGGGAATCTGAGACTTCACAGCCAGGAATAGCTGTATTAAACCAAAGGGATTTTAGAATTAGCTACCATAAAATTTGGAGGGTATATAACTAGGACTTGTCTTTTCCCACTGAAATTGACCCTCATGATGTCCTCCACGTTAGACACATCTGTGTTTCTGGAATAAGCCATACTGTCTTGTCATGACTTCCTGAACCTTGTACAAGATATGAGGTAACACTGCATCCAGTTTTATATGATACTGTTTAACCAACAGGCATTATTACTAAAAGAGAACCAAAAGCTGTCTTCAGTATTCAAAGATGACACTGATTACCACGATCAACAGAAAATCCACCTCCAGGTATTTTCAGACATGAGGATGGATTTGAACAAATCTCAGGGCCTTAGCTGAAATGACCTCTCTCTCCTGGTTTCAATTCTAACCGTATTTCAGGCTCAGTGAAGACTCATCACCTTTGTCAAGCTTCAGGTCAACTCCAAACCCTCCTTCCTCTCAACTCTGTAAGAACTGTCTATATCCTTCGTGGGCACTTATCAAGGACATTCATGGGCAACTTTTCTACCTCATTTTTCACCTGTAGATGCAATGACTTTCCAGCCAGGTGATAAATTCCCCAAGGGGGCACCATTTCATTATGTTGGCCAATCCTTAAATCTTGAATCTTTCTCCTCTTCCCTTGGGTCTTCTGCTTGCTTACTTTCTTCTCTCTGAGATCTTGGCCTTCTTCTCTCTCTCTCTCTCATTCTATAGACTCTCCCTAGATAATTTTACTCAACTCCTGGCTTCCATGACCAAATTCCATCTTTCGCTAGGTTGTGCTGCTAAGCTCCGGACCCATGTTTTCTTACTTGACAACTCCAGGAGAGTGACCCAAGGTCATCTGGAATTCATTATGTCTAAACCTGACCCCACTGTCTTTCCCTTCACACCTGCTTTTCCTTTGGGGTCCCCGGTTCAGTGAATAACCCCACTATCTGCCCAGCTCGATTCAGAAATCTGGGGATCCAGTCTATATCCTCCCTTTTACCCTGTATAGCTAAAGCTCACCTTCTACACGGCTCTCTACTTTCTGTTCTTTTCATCATCTTCACTGTTTCTGTGTTGACCTAGTTCCTCCTGCTTTCAGAGTTCTAGCAATAGCCTTTTGTCTAGCTGTCCCCATACCATTTTTTTTTTTTTTTGGTTCATCTTCCACACTTTCATACTAAACTTTTAAAAAGGTGAATCTGTTACCATCTCCCAACTCAAGATAAAATCGAGACTTTTGCCTTGCCTTTCTCTCAGCTCATCTCTTATACCTTGCCAAATTACCCAAATTTGTACAGATGTGTCAGGTTTCTTTTACTTATATGCCTTCATACTGCTACCTCTGCCTGGAACCATGATTCTCATCTTAGCCTTCCTAAAGTGGCTCCTTCAATACACTTCAAACTCCCTCTTAGGGAACCTTGTCATGTCTAGCCCACCCTATAGCCTGGCTGCCCCTAACACACACATTATCGTGTATCTGTTTCAAATGGTGCATTTTACAGGGCGCCTGGGTGGCTCAGTTGGTTAAGCGATTGACTCTTGATTTCGGCCCAGGTCATGATCTCAGGGTTGTTAGATTAAGTGATTAAGCCCCGCATTGGGGTCCCTACAAATGGTGCACTGACTTCATGCATGTAATTGTTGGCTATCTAGGGTGAACTCCTTGAGGGCAGGGACCATGCGTTTTTCATTTCTGTATTCCTGATCCATGGCATACAGCAGATAATATATGTTGGTTGACTGAGAGGCAGGAAGTATATATCATCCTTTCTATGATTTCTTCATGACTTAGCAGGAAGTTGAACCATTAACTGATGCTGTCACATGATCTAACTAGGTCCTAAAATTCTGAACCTGCCAAGTGACTAAGGGATTAGTCTGTGTCTAATGGAGTTAACTATCTCATCTAGCGATTGTGCCAGGAATTCAATGAGTTAAATAAAAAACAAAATGTAGGGGCGCCCGGGTAGCTCAGTCAGTTGTCTTGTTAAGTAACAGACTCTTGGTTTTGGCTCAGGTTGTGATCTCAGGGTAGTGAGACTGGGCCCCATATCAGGCTCTGCACTCTGCTTGGAGTCTGCTTGAGATTCTTTCTCCCTCTCCCTCTGCCCCTCCTGTTTGTGTCCCCTCTCTCTCAAATAAATCTTTAAAAAAAAACAACCCCAAAATGTAAAAAGGGGAATGCATTTGCTATAGTAAAAGGCAAGGGGAGAGGTTGATAAAGAATCTGTTGTTACTAGCCTTAAAACAAACAACTGTAAGGTATAAAAATAACTGACATTAAATAGCTTAATAAATAAATCCAATGTAAAAATAACAGTTTTCTGAACACTTACTATGTTCTAGGCACCTACTAAACCTGCTTCTCACAACCACCTTATGTGATGGGCATTACATGGTCCCACTTCTATCAATGGGAGCACCAACATCAAGAGAGAGGCTTAGCAATGTGCCAAGGGTCACACAGTCAAGAAATAGCACAGCTAAGTTTTGAACCCAGAGAGCCCACCTCCAGAGACAGTTCTCTTCCTCATTGTGTTAAATGGGCTCTCCATGGGAATTTTCTTGTATGAGATTAATGAGGGTTTGCCTTAACTGTGTGGAAGGAAGACCTCAGTACAGCAGTTCCTCATGCATCCCTTAAAATCACGATACAAAACAAAATATCCTATTGTTATTATAAGTTAAAAAAACTTACTGTAGAAAATTTAGAATACACATTACTATAAAAAAGCAATAAAACCCTGTAATATTCAATTGCTTAGAGATAACTACAATTTACATTTATGGTACATTTTATTCTAGTAATTTTTCTGCATATGCTTTTCTAAAACATGGCTGAGACCATACTGTATATATTTAGTTTCACATCCTACTGTGCACACTACCCATGTCATAAAAAATTCTTTAAAAATACTGTATATAATGGTTGCATAACACTACTGTAATTTATTTGACTCTTTCCCTTTTAGATATTGG